TTAAAATTCTTTTTAATTATGTCGGCATAATTAATTCGTAATTATCTATAACTGTCTCTATACTTAACATCGCTCAAACCAATTTTATATAAGGCGGCGAAAAGTAACAATACTTATAGTTTTGGGAATGTAGGTATATTCATTTTATTGATAATTAATACACGAATTAAAATCTATGTTAGGCCACACAATCAGTAATCAAACTTTGTTATAATTCATCTGTTCTAGCCAAGCAATTTTTTTTTAGTTCAAACAATGAAAATTCACATAATCGAGCTATACCGTAGGCGGTATATTTAAAATTTATTTAAAGTTTAGATTACAAAAACAAAAACAAAAAAAATGTATTTCACAACATTGTTAATTCGCTTTTATGGAAAATTTGTACCTCTAGATTGTTTTCATTCATGGTTTCGTTAAAACAATTTATAACATTCACTGCATGCTACTTGTAGTATTTTAGTCATTGCTCTTTATGACCTCAAATGTAATAACAGAACAGATTACACGAGTACATTTAGATTTCCACCTTTCATGATATGAAATTCAATGTTTTTTAATTATATATCTTCATATTTATAAATATAAATATTTATTATAAATATGAATAAGCTTTCATAACTTTAAAGCCAATATTAACAATTATCTTTAGAGCATTATAATGTCTATATCTTTTCGGGTTTTAAAAGTATCGGGATGCATTTCAAATTGAATAATATATCTTTAAATGAAACAAGGATAAATTTAAAAATTTTTTTGTTTTAAACATTAAACAACATGGTATATGGCTTAAGCCCAATGTAACCATTACTTTGGAATGATATATAAAAATTCCATTAGTTACTGAATTCTAAAGAGTAAAGTATTGAGAACCTATTCAAAAATTAGGAATGCAATTTGAAGATAATGAGCATCTAATTTCAAAATTTTAATAAATGTAAGTTAATTAATTGGATGGAGTCATTTTCTAAGTCAGAGGGAGAATATAATACCATGAGTACAAGAAATCGTGATTGTGAAAAGAATAATGGTAGTATTCTTTTTTTTATTTTAATTTTAATATGTTTTCTGTTTTTTTTGAAAAAATATTTCAGAGGGATGAGTTAAAAATAACACCTATTAGCAATGGTGAGTCTGATCTCCAGGCTGACATCTTTGTTGTTTGTTATGGCGGTGCCAAGGTAGTTAAAATCCTTGACAAATTCGAAAGTATAGTCGCCAGGCACTAGCTGGGTATCTGAGCGACGCACATGCCTGACAGTAGCTGACATATAATTCGTTTTGCTCTCATTCAACGCTAAACCCATTCTTGCAGATTCATTCTTAATAGTATGTGAGAATATAGCGAAAAATATTCATCTAATTTCATACAATCCTGATTGTAGCACGTCTGTTCGCTGAGAGATGGAAAATATCAGGAATTCCTGGTGCCCCAAAAACAAAATTTTATTTGATTTGTGTTTTGGAAACAATATAGCTTCCAAAATTATCCTCCAGCCCTTTACTAATAACATACCAGAACTGAAGAAATAGGCTTAATATCTTCAGTGAAATAAAGTTACGATGTAGTACTTGACATATAAAAACTCTTAATAATTATTTTGCAATTATTCTAAAATTTTATTTTTAATTAAATTATTTATTTCAAGCACTCAAACTTTTCCTATTACATGCACAAGTCTTGCGGAAAATTTTCCAACATTAATCCTGTGACCTCGTGTCGGAGTTTTGCTTTGTAATTAAGTTAACAAACTTGAATTATGTCGTCATTTGTTTATAAATTTTCAACATGTCGTAAACAAAGGAATCAACACATAAGCAAGAACATATCACACGCACACTTAAACTCTGCCAAACTAATACTAATACAGTTGCACACTTAGAACAACATTACACTTACAAGTGTACGTATAAAATAGTACTTCTAACACACATATACTCACACAGATGCACAGCGTAATGAAGTTATTTGTTATTGGAGCTTTGTTTTGTTGTCGAAAGTATCCTGCAAAACGATTTTACGATGTTGTCAAACATTAACTGGATTTTTGCGGTTATCCTTGAAGTTTTACTTTCGCTTTATTCTGCTTTGGCTTATCGTACATGTGCGCATATTTGGGCATATTAAAAAGCGTTTTCACTTAAGTACATGCAGAGCATAAGCCGTGCTGCAGGAGCGAGTATCCTTTGTTACGCTTAATGATACGCTTTCGTTGAATTGTAAACAAAACCGGCAGCTTTGCGACTTATGAGGTTAACATAGTTCAATAGGAGCAAAAATTTTATATTAAATTTAATCTTATTGGATCTAATGAGCTTTTAAATAACATCTACTAAACGAGTTTGCCTATGAAGCAGGCACTTAATATCCTGGTGGAAACTTTTGGGTAATGGTGAAACTTTTCGTAGGTGAATTATTTATATTTCCAAGTAAGGCAAATGGAATTCTTTGAGATCTCTTTGGAGTGCGCATTAAATTTATATTGAATTCATAAAGCAAGTACTTAAAAAATTTAATGAGGAAATATTTTATATACACTCTTACTAATATTCTTATCTGTGTGTACTCGAAGAATATGTACTAATATATAAAGTTTGTTTATGAAAGAAATAAATAAAAATATTAAATTTTGAAAAACGTGCAAAAAGGCCAATATTATTGTATTGGAGATAATAAAAATTTATTTCAAATTCATTTTTTAATAATATTATTACTCCTTACTTCTAAGTTGTAGTCTGTAAGTGTTTCGGAATGATTAATAGTGTGTTATTAGTACATCCAAGGACTCAAACTCAGTACTATATTAATCTACATAATAACTATTGCTTATTACAGGAACTTAATAAATTAAAAACATTAAAACATTAAAGAAATATTTACAAAGATACTATAGACAAAGCAATATAAACAAAAGAAACAAAAGAAAGCAAAAATTAACTGGGTTGCAGTCTCATACTTATTTTGAAGATATAATAATATATAGTTGAAGTTTCGGCACTTTCACTTAACTGCAAAAAATGTTCCGTTGTGACAACATGGATAGTTGTCTAAAGTAAGTACAACAATATATGATTTGCACTTCTTTTATTAATACTATAAGTATTTATTAAATCTCAAGAACTGAACTTTCAAATTATCTTACTCTCAATGTTAATAAGTACATTTAAAAGCATTTCTATTTAAATTATGTAGACCCTATGCTTCAGAAGGAGTTCAGAAAATTAGTAGTACTAGTAATATATTACACGATTCGCGACATGAATAAAAGTAAAAAAATAAAGTAAAATAAAAAAGAAGAAAAATTAATATTTCAATATTAAAAAGTTTAGGATGTTTTTTTTAAAAAAAAGTTTTGTGATGACTCAGTTTGCAAAACCAATAGAATTACTGCTATTAAGTACCATAATCGTGTTTGAAAAAATCAACTTCCGTTTAATCATACTCATTTTGGCTATCCCTTTGGCTATTTCTCGTATACATCACAAAAGAAATCAACATGACGACACAAATATATCAGTTTAGATTCCGTAAGAATAGCTTGTATCTCGACAGATTCAATACGTGGTAATAAACGGTATTCACTGGAACTATGGTGCTTAGAAGATAATATTGCAGCATCTCATATGAATGTAGCTATTAGCGGTTTGGAAACTGATTTTCTGAAGTATCACCACTTGCAAAAGTGAATATGAAAATATTGAATTGGGTTATTATTTCAACAATTTTGGTAGCATTGTCGCTGCTAATATCAAAGTTAAAGAATGCAATACCCACTCATCACAAAAAAATCCAAAATTGATTTCAAGATATTACTTAATGTCTTTGTGTCTCCCTTAACATTCACTTGCGTGAGAGTTCGCGTTTATAACTCAAACATAAAATCTACGATTTCCTTCAAATGCTCGATATAAAGAAAACCATGACAATTTTTATATCTAATGGGTCACCATCATCACTCGCTTGACAAAAATATATTCCACTAGACACTAACATGTAGCCCACAAGATAGTAATCGCTTGGCAGAGCCAAATTAAACTCATTGGGGAGAATGACTACTGATAAGAGCCGTGTTGGAGCTACATTAACCAAGAAACAGTAAACAAAATTTGGTATAAAAGAGATAAGGGGAGGTGTTCTGGGGTTGGTATTTCATTGAGAAATGTGGAATATAGACAGAAGAAGAAAAATTTATTTATTTACATTATCATCAACGTGAGATGAACTTGACGACAACATGAACTGATAGTTTAGTTCGCACTATCATGAACTGTCATGAAGAGTACAATTTGTGTTGTTTTGTGGAAACGTATAAAGTACTTACACACATCAAAACATAACATTGTATATGTATGCGTGCCAAGCTGAAAAAAGCAGTAAATTTCGTTGCTTGAAATTCATGAACTAACATCACACTTTCTTGCTCCTCTCATCTATTGAAAACCGGTTTTCAAGTTCATGTTCATGTTACGCTTATAACATATATTTTTTTTTTAGTGTAAAGACCTACCTATATACTCTTATGTGAAACGAAGAAAATTGAAAAGGTTCCTGTCATCATTGATGTCTGTGTTTGTCTGTTTTTTTTGCTGAACTATTTTTTTCAGGAACTATTAAAACTCAAACAATACTTACAGAAAGTTAAAGTTCAGAACTTACTTTAGAATATTCCTTATTTCTACACGGATAATTCTGCCTTCTGAGAATTCGTTCCACAGTTATTGTTGGTAAAAGAATATGGCTTATATTTCTTAATGTAGATTTTTGGTTACCTTCAGAGCTATAAAAGATAATGTATGCTGGATATAATTTCTACGTAAAAAAAATAATTTTTATGTTATAGATTGAATTATCAGTCAATTAAATGGCTTTTATATAATCATACATATTTTGATTAATCGTAGTATACGTTTTTAAAAATTAAAATTTTACAATCTTAGTTGGCGTTTTATGTTAAAAAATAAAATGAAATATTTTCTAGAAGAAAAATATATACTTCACATATATTTTTTCCAATTTCTTTGAAAATTTCCAAAAACAGCTCGTATTAGGCAAAATTTTAGAAGTAATACATTTTGAACTGCCATAAATATCTAAATTTCCGAATTCCATTTTCAATATAACTTGTTTTTAAAATCTTATGTATGGGCTTAGAGTATAGTTAGTAGTTTAACGTTTCATTTATATCGGGAGCCAATAGCAACAAGACATTTCATCAACTACTCCATCAACTACTTAATGGTTGATAATTTGTAAGAACGTTGTGAACCACAAAGAAGTTTCTTCACCTTCAAAGCATACATCCATTCGGAATGTCATCCATACTTCAAGACTATCGCGATGCAATTAAAAACAGTAACATCGTCGTGGTAGAGAGTGGAAGGAAGTGTAAGCAAGTAGTTCGCATCATCAGAGCGTAAGTATTTTAGAAAAAAATTATGAAATTTGTTGTATACTAAGTATTTATTACATTAAGTGAAAATTCATCCATATACTTCATTTGTAGAAAGTGCAGGAAGCAGAAGTTCGTCGGATTTGACGTCGAATGGGTGACTGAGGATGGCGAACGTAAGCCAATAGCGCTCCTCCAACTCTCCACAGGCGATGGCTACTGTGGGTTGCTTCGTTTATGTAAAATGGTTAGCATACCCAAATGTCTGAGTGCTCTACTTAGCGATCCAGACATTATTAAGCTGGGTGTTGCTCCATTCGATGATGCTGAAAAAATGCTTTCTGATTATAATTGCAAAACGAAGGGTACAGTTGATCTTCGCCACCTTGCGGCGCTAACTGGTCATAATGTATCTGGTTTAAAGGGTTTGTCAGAATCTATACTCAACGTTCAAATGGAAAAATCCATTGAAGTAAGATGCTCCAACTGGTCAGCAGATAGTCTAACAGACAAACAAATTGATTATGCTGCGGCTGATGCCATTTTAGCGGTGGAAATATACAAAGAACTCTTTACAGATTTCGCTCGAGTGTTAGTTTATTTATATATGTTTAATAATTATCTATTTACTTTTAATGTATTCACTTTTTATATATACTACCTTTTGAAGTTATGGAGAGCCTATCACTTGTCATCAGATTTTAATGTACAGAGATATAAAGTTCAATCAATATGAAACAAGCTGTCCGAGCTACTGTCATCAAGAACTACTTCTACTGCCAGTTCCCTATTACATGGTAAACAATGTTGGATGCTTTTTGGTAGCAGCACAGCTTGAAAGACCATGCTGTAGTGGTCATCAAAGAGCTTGAGCTTCTGTAACAATCTTAAAGTCCCTATGAACAACATGTAAATTCCTATTAAGGTTTATGAAGCCAAACTGTGGAGTGATTTTGTGTTATTAGAAAATCATCAAAATTTATAATCTTAACACAGGTAAATATTTTTCAAAATTTTATAATATTTGGATCCCTCATGAAGCAAAACTCTGCAATATTATAGTTTGGGCTTTTAAAATTACTGAAACTGAAGAAACGGTTGTTCCTGGTAGTTTTTGGATATTGTGGTATCCTTACACATAGGAAGCATTCTTTCCTGAAGTAAGTATAGGTAGTTTTTACGATGACCTGCAAAATAAAAATTCTATTCGATTTTTAGCTTACAGAGTCGAAATCTGAGGTGTGGGAAGAATATGTAACACAATATCCTGTAATTAAGTTTTTGGATATGAATATTGCAAGTTGAAGAAGGTTCTAACATCTGAAGACATACTTGTTTCCGAAGAACGTTTTTGGTATTCATAATTTGCCAATTTTTCGTGAAATTGTAGCTTGCTGTTGCGACTTTAGTAAGAACAGCTTAAAGTGTACCCAACTAATATATATCATTTATATATCTTTACTTATTTAGCTAAAAGTTTCGAATTAATTGATAATGTGAAATGTGTGTTAACAAAATGGAAATACTCTGGATTGCATTAGAATCCTGTTAAGGAATGTATATAGAGAATATTTATCCCAATAACATCGAAGGGACTACGAACTAAATACTTTTGTAAGCCTTGCTCTCAACAAAACTTGAACAATGTTTGCGAAAATGGAGTTCCATACAAATTAAGCTTGTGTAATATATATAATACATAATGCATGTGAAATGGATCTGGGAAATAACTATAACTAATGGTACTGGAAATAGTAATAGTGATTATATTAGTGGTTTTACTCAAAAGTTTCGTATACCTAAAACTTTGTGGTGATCATATGAGAGTTTATTTTGTACACAAGAAAATTGGTTTATATATAGCATAATTATGTTATATCATAATTAATTATATAGTGAAATATTTAAGTGTAATTATTAATGAAAATTAATAATTATATTGATAATAATAATTAGTACTTTTACTTACTAGTTTATTATTTATTCAATTAGTTCCGAGTGGTCGGATCAAAGTTTATTTTGTATACAAGAATTTATTTAATTTATACAATTTATATAAATTTATATTAGAATTATAAAAATAAAATTAGAAAAAAGTCCTTTTTCATAGACTTTAATTTATATTTCGTTCTTATATATTGAGTTTCTTAACATGCTATTTAGAAGTCACCGCAACTTCATACGTCATATAGATAATTAGTTTATCATCATTACATACTATAACTTACTGATTGAAAAATTTGTATAATAGTCCTCGATAAAGTCCAACTAGTTAATGACCACATAAAAAATTTTGTATACATTATATTTTTTTTATTATAAAATTTTATTATACGTTCCTTTTAGACGCTTCTGCAAATGCAGGTAGAAGCACTATATATTGAGATAGGCATATAGGGATTAACAATGTTGACTTCGATTGTAACTAATATAAATGTTAATAACTAATTTAAGGCAACGCCTATTTCTCAGTAATAATTACAAAAGTTAATTCGTATAGTATGTCAAACAGCTCTCTATTCAATTGGGCTTAGAAAGCGAATTCCCTCATTTTCTTCGGTAATATTTTAATCTTTATTTTCGAGTATAAGTTGCTAATTTTAAACTATGAAAATAATTATTAATTATCAATTATCATCAGCATCATCAGTGACTAAATAAAAAATATGATCCCATTGTAAATTTATCAAGACAAACATGAAGTTGAAAATGTTCCGCAAAAAAAATATCTTCTACATACACCTTCAGCCATTAACATAGGCAAAAAGTGGAATAGCTTGATAACTTTATGAGTTATTTTACAATACTTGGTGAGAACATATAAAAATATTACTTGACTTGTAATCTCTTATGGTGCTCAAACTTCTTATGGTGCTTGTCACTGTCATGCCCTCATAACCAAATCCATTAGTCGTATAGTCGTAGTTCCATTCCATGTCTACGACTATATCATTTACTAAAAAAAAGAGGTCATTAAAATAAAAATAGCAATGTGGATTTAACTGCAGCCTGTATATAACTCAAATTAAAGACTGAAAGGGGGCGATTTTCCTGCCTGTATATAATTTAAATTAAAGGGGAGAAGGGGGTGATTTTCCATTGGCTCCCTTATCATTTAAAACTATTTCTTCAAGCACACCTTTAAACTGGACTTCTTTAGCTTTTTCCATGCCCTCTATAATGAAGTAGAATACTTGAACGTGTATTGTACAAATCGAGGTTCACATTTCTTTTGTAATTACGAAGAATTGAAGTATAGCAGGATTAGGATTTTAGAAAAGTCCTATCGTGAGAAACTGTTGTATTGTTAATCAGTTATGTTATATCACATAAATTCAACAGGATACATGTTATTTATTCATAAAGGTATTTTTGATGATTATGTTAAAATGGCGATTAATCACTAGTTTTGAGAAGCTAAAGGATCTCTGCTGATCAATCACTGCAATCAAACCAACAAATCACGCATAGATAATTAAATAGACTGTAGAAACATTAAGTTTAAACGGATTGTCAAAAATGCTCTAAGTATATAAAATCACATTTATTAAGACATTAATGTAGTTCTTGCAATATATAGGTCATTCTTTCACAAGTGGAACAAATTTAAAAAAAAATTGACTTCATAACCTCTGATTCGGCTGAATTTATTTTTGGATCTTTTTTTTAAAAAACACGCATTTTGGAAATTTGTCCTGAGAAACAGGAACCCTTTGAAATTTAAGAATATGTATATCTCATTGATCCACAGAGCCATTGGGAACTCCGTATATGATAGATACTGATTTTTTCGCATTTTAAGAAGAATGGCTTTGTATGACCTCTACTAAAACTGTTTCTACTTATTTTGATTAATTTTTTAACACCATTTTTTATTTTTCTGCATACTGTTAATCAAATTATATTTATAAATACTATAAATAATAAATAAAAGAAATATAATCCTATATCACATACTTCATACGCACACGCGGGAAACCCTTATGATCTTATTCCCTCTTAATGAAAATTTCGTTCACACTGAAAAATATTATGCCAAAATTTATAAGTAGAAATCGAGTGACTCTGGATATATTTCAGTAAAATATTTTATATTGTGAATATTTTCAAAAATTTTCTGCTAACGTGAAAGTCAAGCATTTTTCTGCTGCAGAAAGTCGAAAGGAAGTATGCACTTGAACCGCAAAAATGTTTAGAAAATTCCACGCATCGATTTAAGAATAAAATGTGCTCTATTTTATATCTTCCCTTCCTTGCCTTAAATATTCCGACTTCGATGCCTAAAGTCCTGTGCTGGTGCGAGTCAAGGTTTGTCGCTGTAACACTGCAGAATGTCGCGTGGCATATAACGACCTTTTCATTTTAACTATGACTTGGTTTTTGTTGTTGTACTTGTAGGTGTTGTAACTCATAACTTAAATTGAATTCACTTTTCCTAACTTTTGCTTAAATCGTTAGTCAGTGGTGTTTTATGGCGCAACAACATATCATGAGCAAAGCAATTTCTGTGCTTCCCCTAAAAAAACGTTAAAGCATTCGCTTTACACTAAAATATGCAAGTTTTTAAATTGAAAATAAATTCGCTCTCAGCAGCTGGCAGTTTATAAATCCATTCTGCACATTTGTAGTGTATACTTGCGCGGGATAAACGGGTGCTGGGGCGCACATATCCGTGTGTGTAAGTTTATGTTGCAGTCATCGATAAATCGTTATTTCGCCATGAAAAAGACATTACAAATATAGCGGCGATACATAACCCAAGCCACATCAAGCGGCACAGCAACTTTGCCAACACCAACAATGTCGAGCGATTCACTTCCACCTCCCTGTACATATATTGGCCTCTACATGTATGTGTGTTATTAGGGGGAAAAAATTATATTTTTATTGTACGAGTATAATGATAAGCTCGGCTTATTTGTGCGTATGTGTCTTGCCTAAAAGTATGCAAGCAAGCAGCATTTTGGAACCACTGACGGGTCTCTTCCAGTTGATTTGTTACACACTTTTCAGTTAACAACACAATATTGCCAACGAAAATTGTGTACGCACGTTGCGGCTTTGGGGGTTGGGTGCTTGGCAAGGCAGAGATATTGGCCTTTCCAAATTTAGCATAAAAACTGAAATAAATTGATTTATAAAAATTTAGATTTTTTGACATTTGCTCTGCTTGAATTGATTTTTAACCACTCGCACTGTCAGCAGTCAAAATACACGCAACCAACCAACATCCACACATGCACATGAGTAAACAAATATTACTGAAATTATGCTATGATACGGCACTAAAAATATTTCCTACTGCGGTAACATTTTCAGTCGTTCGTCGCAAAAATGTTTGACAATTTTTGTTAAAATTTTCATTCAAATTAATTTGTGCAAAACCAAAAATTATATCGTAATTTGCTTCAATTAAAGTTTATGTCTCGCAATGTTAAATAATTTTTTTTTTGTATATATTTTTTTGCATAATTCCTTAAATATTTTAAGCTTAAAAAAATTTAAATTGACGTTTAGTATGAACAAATATTGGCAAAAAATAACAAATATGGATGGAATGAAGGCTGAATGAAGTATTAAAAATCGATTGCTCCAATGTCGGTACATATAGATGAGTGCCATTTAAATTTGGATTTGTGTGTCATGATGAATTCTGTTAAAAAATATGTAAAATTTTTTTTTCATTTGCTATGCTGCTAAAAGTTAGATAAAATATTTCCTTTGCATTCCTTTTTATTTGTGGTGCACGCAGTTCGAAACGATAATTAAATTTGCGCCGAGTTCTGGCACGAAATTTTTGAATGCTACCGAGCTACCGAGTATCCTTGCCACAGATAAATTTGGCATATATTTGCACATAATGACATGATAAAATCATAAAGAAACTCAAGAGGAAGTCAGGAGTGGGTCGGAATCGAATTGACTATTCATTTTAAATAATTTTATACTGCATCGTATTTTTCGTTTAATTTTTTTTTTTTTTTTGTGGATTTGCTGAAGTATTGCGGCACATGGTATCTTGATAGTTAGAGGAGCAAGCCAATTTGTGAAATCAATGCTGACAATTAAAAATTCAATTATTTCAATTTTGGATTCATGAATTTTGAATGGTTTTTTTTATTAAGTTGCGTTCTTATTATGTGTGCTTTAAATAAAGAAAAAATCAATTTTTGATAAACGAATTTATTAAATTTTTGTTATTGATACAGATTACAAAAAGAAACATTGAAAAAATCAGACAAGACAAAAATAATTATTATATATAGAGCTTAAAAAAGACAATGCAGTGTAATAGCATGAACAAGTATTATTTTACAATGGAAATAAAAGATTTATTCTAATTAAAATTGATCCCATCAAAAAATATATAAAGGAGAGAGCGAAAACTGAACCAACACCGCGTTATCAAATCTCAGAATAGTTACAGGCTCCTCGGGGAGGTATGCAGATCTGAGGTCAATTATTGCTTGGTCTGATGAAGTGATAAACAATAACCCAGTCAAGGTGTAAAGAAGGGTTTCGAAAATACGTCGAGTTAAGAAAGAGTAAAAATGCTCAAGTGGACTGGCTTAAAGAGCTTCAACATAATAAAATTGAGTTTATTTAAGTCAAATGCACATTTAAGAGTATTACTGAAGAAGGTCATAAATGCGTAATGAACAGTCGCATGAATCAAAAATCATATTAAAATAATGAGGAAAAACTGACGTTTCAGTTATAAGAAATTATAAAAAATTTTATTGACTGAGCATATTATTTCATCTGAACTAATCCCATGGTTGACAATAACAATAAGTGATACCTAAAATAACTTAATTACTTAACATACAATGTCAATATATATAAGTAAAAGAGTAAAACAGTGGTAACTCCATTCAATTTCTTAATGGATGGCCTTAATAACCCGATAAATCATAATGTTGAAACGGTAGCTTTCACCTGTAAGCATTGATACAGATATAAGGCAAAATAATTTTTTCTCCATATTTTGCAGATAGAAATTTATAATGCAGTGAGTTGTGCTAAAAAATTCAGGATAATGAAAAAAAAAAAACAACTAAACTTACCAATAATTTTATTACATACATAAACAACTAAAAATTTTCTTTAATATTGGCTTACAAAAGTTCATAGAACTGTTAGGTTGATTTTTGGCGTTGGTCATATACTGACCTTTCACTCTATGTACGTACTAGTTTTTCTTGTGGTACCACAATTGGCCATTATTTCAGCTCAAGTGGGCTCGTACACTACCTATATTGGCGCACAAAATCAAGCAGATCAGAACTGGTATAAACAATTTATCTGAGTTTTGGATTTCATACAAACTAACAGACATTTAAACGAAATCCTTTCTTAGTTCTTAGTAAATGTTTGTGAGGCAGTGGATTTATTCTGTATGCATAGAATTTTTGAATAAAATTCATTGTATTTCTTTAAAAACTATATTGACTGAATTCCTCGATTAGTAGCTTAAGTTATTTGCTGATTTGCTTATTATATTACACGAGTTACCTGAACTATACTCACAAGTATTAACTGCAATAAAAAATACAGGCCTAAGAAGCATGTAAAATTGTGGACTTAGTTCTTTTACAAACAAACAACAACGCAATAATACATAGATATCTTTACTAAAGGCTTTAAGTATTTAATAATATATTGAAGTTAAATATATAATGAAAGATAAGAAATACTTATAAAATAATTTCTATAAGTATTAAATAAAATTAATATAAATCGAATTAAAAATAATATATTCTGAACCATACAAAATATATTTTTAAAAAACGAACAGGAATTAAATATATAACAAATAAAATAAATTTTAACATTATAAAATTCTATGTGATTGAAAGTAATAATTTCCATAAAAAATAATATATTCAGAAACAATAGTTCAAGTAATTAAAAATTAAACTGCATATATAATTGAACTATTTTAACACAAATATATATAAATAAATACACAATAATATTTATGTACCAGTAGAAGTTAAAAGCAACAGTCTTATGTTGCCAATTACAAGCAACAATGCTGCATAACTAAGCTACATACACTTCATAGCAACACTGCTACTATCAAATGTTTAGCTGCATGTTGTTAACTAAATATGTTGCTAAACATTGAATGTTGCTCTCTCATCGTTGCAGTGTTCGTATAACCCGTGCAACATAATATGAAAGCTTTTGCGGTAGGCGCTTGCGCCTATCAGCGCACCGCGTTTTTTGTTGTGGCACATGCAATGGGCAACATTAACATCCTTTTAGGTGCTTTTAATAAATTTAGTTTGTCAATGTACGTGCTTGAAAAAGGACATTCAAGTAATTTCGCGGTAATTTTTATTAGTCTTAATGACTGCCAAGCAACGACAGTGAGAGTTTGTGTTGCACGCAAAAGACGTTCGTACTCGTTTATAACAGTTACGTAAATGTAATTCAAAAACAATATTTATGTTGCTAGAAACTCGTTACGATGCTGTTACTGTATGCCGAAGAGTATAATAACATTTCCGTTAAACGGAAATCATTTAATTAAAAATTAATGAACGCAGCTGAAAGGTGTGAGTCGGGTATGACACAGAATTCCTAATGAAATCGTGTAGCAATAACGAATTTAACACGAAAAAACAAAAACATAAAAAAAAATTTTTGCTTGATTCAATATAAAAAATACAAATAATACAAATAAAAATAAAAATGGCAATAGAATTTTTATATGAAATAATTTTAGTATTACGAGTAATAAAACAATAACGGCTTAACGGCATACTCAACTATTAGCGGCAGCAGTAAGCGCTTTCACTTTTGTTCACTTGACTGAAGTTCTAATCCCGTTTACTCAGTGTTTCCAGTTTCGTTCATTACTGCGGTTTTAATTAACTTAATTCAGTGACTAAGCAGCCAAATTGTCGCTGGCTGCGATTCGTGGCAGTGAGTAAAGGAAACTGTTTGAAATCATCTTAGCGATTCTGTACGTGGTATTAGCAACTGATACTTGAATCGGCCTGATACGACTTGAAACGGCCTGATACGGCGTCTCATTGTCAGTATCCTTTACACAGTATTCCTTGTTTTGTTGTTGTTCTCGTAGCGTTCGTTCGTTATCGCTGTTGATATTGTTTTATCGTTTTGAATACAAAATTTCGCATGAAATGTTGCTTGAATACATAATGACGCTGTTTGTGTTTGGATTAACAACAACTGTTGAAAGGAGTCACATCGATGCTTTCGGTAAGTTAAAAGTTATTTGTCTTAACTTTTCCCATGAAAAAGTTGCCTTTCTTTTCTTTTTCCTTTCCTCTTTCTCCTTCTCTATTTTTTGTCTTGTTTTGTATCTTTCACTTGGCTTAATGTCTACAGAAGTAATTCATTATAAATTATCTCTCTAAATATTTTGCTTGAAGTGAAAGACATTGTTTGATTTGTCTGCGTGAAGCTTTGGGTTCTCTGGAGGAATTTTAATTAATTAAATGTTTTATAATGAACCACATCATCCACATCATGTGAATAGTGACAGCAGTTTTTGAGTTATGTTAATGCATTTGCAACAGCACAGCTGCTACTTTTTACAGCCACTTGACCTATGAGTGTTTTGCGTGTCGCCTGGAAGGGTGAGTGGTCAGGTGAAGTGCAAAAATTTATTCCCACTTTGGGTCAAATTAATTAATTTATGATGAATTTCTAAATGTGGTTTTATAATGAGAAATGAACTGGAAGTTAATTTAGTTTTGGCTACCTTTTCGTGGAGCATAAATTAAGCATATTACTTTAAAGGGTAGAAAGATAAATAATGCGAATCTGTAATGGAATGCATAAAAAAATAAAAGATATTGTGGTATTAGGAGCACTTATAAAGACAGGTTCAGAAGTTATTTTCTGTGACTTATGTACACAATAACTTAATTAAGGGAAGCATATGAAAACTGAAAATGAAAAATAGATTTAATTTCTTTCATCTTTAGAGAGACTACTGAAATTATAAATGGATGGTAATAATAATGATTATGAAGGAAAATAAATTTCATTTTCTGCAGAAAATTTTTTTTGATATATTTAGGTGTTTCTAAAGCATTTCATAACTGTTAAGAATAATATATTTATAATTCAGAATTTTATTTGCAAAATTTTTATGCAAATTCTACTAATTAAACTTAGTTGAAAGTTATTTAATATATTTGTATTTATTTTTGTCCATTATTTAAGAATATGACCCTACGAGTATAATACAATATACGATACTGTGCTTGTTATTTAATAGCTTTTTTGAATTTTCTGAATTAAGTATAAACATATTTTGATATGCTTATCACACATTAAGTATTTATATGTAATATTATATGTAGTCCCAAATAATGTATCCAATATAAAATTTTGCCCAAAACTTTAATGAAGCAAATATATTATATAATCAAAGTTATAAAGAATTTCAGTAATAAAATACTGAATATAAAAATATTTCAATAATAAAATATAATACCATATAAAAATATCTACATATTTTATATACACATATTATGTACACATATATATCAGACAATATGTACAAAAAATGTAACATTGATCAGATGAGAGCCATGCTATGGGGAGTGGCTAATTTCACCGATATAATAATGGCAATAAATACATAGATAAATATCTGTATCTAAAGGGTTCAAAAATTTCTTATATGTATATACGGAATTATTTGTGTTTTGGAAGTTTTAGTTTATTTGAATAAAATTTTGGGAAAGGTTAATATGTACAAAATGGAATTTATTAATCCTAAAATCATGATATGTGAATTAATCGTATAGACAATCAAACTTTTTAATAGAAAGTCAGCAGCATAAATATTTCGGTAATATTTTAAACATGACACATGAGGGCTGCATATATTGCAAAGACTGCATCATGACGAGAAAAACTCCAACCCTCTTAGATTCCAACACAAATCCCTTTTAATAAAAATAAATTCATGATGCAGTTTGTTCTGGTTCACAATAACTCATCACGGTTTTAAGATTTGCGATCATCTATAAAAAACAACATGAATTTGAATTTGTTTTATTAGAAAAAATTCCTTTGCTTCGGACGCAATATATATATATTCACTTTATTTACTAACAGAAAGATAAAAAAACAAAGTTTCATCTAATGAGTGAAACTTTTATTGGATTAGAAGTCTTAATTGCAAGTTATTCACATAAATCTTGATTGCGGCTGCTCCATCATGCTTCAGGTTTTTATAAGTTTATAATTTGATATTTCCAATACTCCTTCATATACCATTTTATATATTGTATTACTTGTACTTCAGAACAAATAACTCCCGTACTTAGTTTTTTCTAAAAGTGGAAGCAAATTACTGCAGCAAGAATAGTCATAATTTGGGTCTTCGTAATCCCCGAATGCAGGTATTGGTCCCTAGCGACACAAAATGCAATTAAACTTTTATGTAGATTTCATCAAATTTATGGATTTATACTAATTCAGTTTCTGAAACAAAGTTAACAAATATTTTAAAATCGTGCTGTTAGTTAAGACTTTAGTGGGGCGCTTTATAATTCAACATAGGGAGGCTTGACAGCATTTCTAATTAATTTAATTATGAAGTTGCTAGAACAGTACAGTGCTGTTACCAATTTTAAAAAGGCAGAGGCCTTACATTTTATTCTCATAAAGGTTCAGAGTCTGTTATTTCAATTTTTGTATAAAGTATTGTCAATAAACGGAAGGGAAATTAATTCGATGTGTGTCTGCATAAGATTATTTTTAAGGATGAACTATCTTGATGTCAGATATGTATTGCTTTTATTTAGAGATCTAATTGCATTGAAATGAAAACTTAATCTAGAAATCAATTAATTTCATTGAAAATAATCAGTAATAATCACTGATTACTCATAGTGAATATTGTAGATCTTTTGAGCTATAATTTACTTGTCAGATTATTTTCATATAAATATTTTATAATATTCCGTAAGTGAGTTTAAGAAACAAAATAGGAAAGTAATACAAAAGACGAATTTGTGTTTGGAAGTTTTTAGTTCTACAAAATATTATTCCAGTACTCATTATAGTCAGTACTTATATGTCATTTCAAATCAAATATTGATGTAGGACATACATTAGATCCCTCCAAAGCATGGAGTGAATGGATATAATAACATTATTATTATTTGGCTCTATATATCTTTGTGTCCTTCGGCCATTATAAAGCCGATCAATGAGGATTTTTAATTTCAAATGCCCATCTGGGCATACCACTGGTGTAATGTAAATAAATATTGATATTATCTCTCTTAAAGTTATCAGGTTTGTAGTAGATTTGTTGATGTGTTAAAACCTAATAGGGGACAATGCTTACAAATTGAATCTTCCATATGTGGTTACTTGTCGCAGCAAAGAGAAGATAAAGAAAGTACCTTATATCTGTTTTATCACTATTCTACGCATGTTCAGCATTCTAGAAACTTCTTTTTTGAAGAAATTTAATTTTTTCTAAGACCTCATTTTTAAGATCATTTAAGCCTTTGCCTAAGTAGTTTCTACTGAAGGTTTGACTAGTCTATTTATTGAAAATAGCAACTATTCTCCTTATGCACTTTTAAACTAGTATCGTCCCGTGTAAAATGCATTTAAAATAGAATATTTCGTCGTACAAGTTTCTCGGTTTGACTTTTTTAAATTATAACTTTTATGACAGTTCGGACGGACTGTAAATACTTGAAAGGATTCGCATGCATCCTTTCCTATAATATAGCTGTTATTTCTAAAGTCACACAATAATATTATACAATGATAATATGATTTTTAGTGATTTTTCGATTACATATTATACACCTTTAGCTTTACGTATATATTCATTTTTAACTGTTCTTAAAATAAAGATTGACAGTGCATTTATAAGAATTGGTTTTCATTGACATTAGTTAATGTTTACAGAAATTGTTATGCTATCTGATCTGTTAATATGTGTCGATATGCACTAAATAAATTTCATTGTCTTACACTATTCAACGTTCCTTATAATATTGGAAGCTATGGTACAATCCATTGTTATATACGATAACCAATGTGCAAACTTTCGACCGTACCTCAAGATGAGTTCAATGTGTAATAACTATATATTGTTTGGATCAAATTTCACTTAATTATAAATGAACAGATTCATAAGAAAATAAATGCAGTTTTGCTTTTACTTTTTCTTCCTTCACACAAATCATCGCCCAAAATATAACTTTCCTTAATACCCGCTTTATGTTCTAAAATTTGGTTTACTTTATTAACTATTCTCTTATCTTTTAAGTAAACTGGTTATTTCTGAAGACTCTTAATACATTTCCGTAATGCATTTTCTTTTATTAAGCATTCGCTAAATTCTTATATATCTTCTAAATAAACTTTATATTCTTCAATACGCTATATAAGTTCCAGTATTTTATTTGCTTTGTCAGCCGTTTGTTTGGGTCTTAGATCTTTTAAACAAACTACATTTTGTGCTGGTTCCTTGTATTGTTATTTTTTTTTTGGTGGCCTGCTTGTGCTAATTAATGTTCATTTGTTGTTAAACAATTTGGTTTACATTTGCAAATATCTTTTAATATACTTCACAACACCATACCTTTGCTTGATGGTTACCAATTCTCCATATTTATAAACGTTCATTACGTTGTTAATCAATTTGATTTGACCTTGCAAATATGTTTTAATATATTTCACAACACTCTCCCTATGGTTCGTGTTAACCAATTCTCCGAATTTCTAAACGTTTATTACGTTGTTAATCAATTTAATTTTCCCTTGCAAATATCCTTTAATATACTCCACATCACTATGCTTTTTCAGTATGTTTTTTTTAATAATATTTTCACTGTCTGTGAAATTAATCGGCTTCTTGTTATTGGATAATAAAGTTAAATTAAAAAAAGTTAAATTTTATAAATATTTCGTTATATAAAACATATTTTTATTGCTTGCAAATATATCTTCATATTTTTTGCTATACCATATTTTGTATGCAAATTTAGTCATCCTAATATTTTACTTTCATTTCGTAATTCCCTATACAATTTTCATCATACTTTGAGGAAGAGTTTAAGCTACAAATAAATGTATATACATATATATATATGTGTACCAAAATACGTGCTTATGCATCCTTTATAGTTCAATAGATATTGCCACCATAACTCCATCACACCATCACACTTCCTGTTGAAGTAATTTGTTTTGTGTTCACTTTAAAGTGA